GATGGCTAAAAAGGTGAATAGAGTGATGGCTAAAGAGATGAATAGAGTGACAGCTAATGAGGAGAACAGAGTGATGGGTAAAGGTTTTATGGAAGGCACATTTGACTGACCGCAAGCATGGCTTTCATGCCCAAAATAGTTCCACAGATTTAGGCTGTGCAGCTGGACTATCTTCTCATTCACATAATGTCTAAATTGCACGAACGGATCTGTTCGTGCATTACTCTATTGGATGCATTTAATAGAGTGATGACTATAGAGGTTAACAGAATGATGGCTAACGAGGAGAATAGAATGACAGCTAAAGAGGTGAATAGAGTGATGGCTAAAGAGATGAATAGAGTGACGGCCATGACAAGGGAAAACGAAGTCCAGGAACGGGTACTTTGTTGAAATAAAACATTAGGAAGGAGACCAACACCATAATAACTGTAGGAAGGGACAAAACCACCATAACTACTGCAATCAAAGAGGGGTTTTGTTACAAATAGATACCTTGATAAAGAAATTAGGCTGATGTCATTCATAAGGAGACAGGTAGAAGAATAGAGTAATGGCTAAAGAGGTAAATAGAGTGATGGCTAAAGAGGAGAATAGAGTGATAGCTAAAGAGGTAAATAGATTGATGGCTAAAGAGGTGAATAGAGTGACGGCTAAAGAGGTAAAAAGAGTGACGGCTAAAATGGAGAATAGGGTGATGACTAAATAGATGAATAGAGTGACAGATAACAAGTTTAATAGAGTGATGGCTAAATAGGAGAATAGAGTGATAGCTAAAAAGGTAAATAGATTGATGGCTAAAGAGGTGAATAGAGTGACGGCTAAAATGGAGAATAGGGTGACGGCTAAATAGGTGAATAGAGTGACAGATAACAAGATTAATAGAGTGATGGCTAAAGAGGAGAATTGAGTGACAGCTAAAGAGGTAAATAGCATCACGGCTAAAGAGGTGAATACAGTGATGGCTAACAAGGTGAATAGAGTGATGACTTTAGAGGTTAATAGAGTGACGGCTTAAGTGGAAAATAGAGTGATAGCTAAAGAGTTGAATAAAGTGATGTCTAAAGAGATGAATAGAGTGATGGGTAAAGAGGAGAATAGAGTGAAAGCTAAAAAGGTGAATAGAGTGATGCGTAAAGAAGTGAATAGAGTGATGGCTACAGAGGTTAATAAAGTGATGGCTAAAGAGTTGAATATTGTGATGGCTAAAGAGGTGAATAAAGTGACAGCTAAAGTGGTTAATAGAGTGATGGCTAAAGAGGAGAACAGTGTGACAGCTAAAGAGGTGAATAGAGTCACGGCTAAAGGGGAGAATAGAGTGACAGCTAAAAAGGTAAATAGCATCACGGGTAGAGAGGTGAATACAGTAACGGCAAAAGAGGTTAATAGAGTGATGATTATAGAGGTTAATAGAGTGATGGCTAACGAGGAGAATAGAATGACGGCTAAAGAGGTGAATAGAGTGATGGCTAAATAGATGAATAGAGTGACAGCTAACGAGGAGAATAGAGTGATGGGTAAAGAAGTGAATAGAGTGATGACTAAAGAGTAGAATAGAGTGACAGCTAACGAGGTTAATAGAGTGATGTCTAAAGAGGAGAATAAAGTGACGGCTAAAGAGGTTAATAGAGTGACGGCTAAAGAGGTGAATAGAGTGACGGCTAAAGAGGTTAATAGAGTGATGGCTAGAGAGGTGTATAGAGTGACAGCTAAAGAGGTTAATAGAGTGATGGCTAAAGAGGTGTATAGAGGGACGGCTAAAGAGGTTAATAGAGTGATGGCTAAAGAGGTGAATAGAGTGACGGCTAACGAGGAGAATAGAGTGATGGGTAAAGAAGTGAATAGAGTGACAGCTAAAGAGGTGAATAGAGTGACAGCTAAATAGGAGAATAGAGTGTCAGCTAAAGAGGTGAATAGAGTGACAGCTAAAGAGGAGAATAGAGTGATGGTTAAAGAGGAGAATAAAGTGATGGCTAAAGAGTTGAATATTGTGATGGCTATAGAGGAGAAAAGAGTGACAACTAAAAAGGTAAATACAGTGATGGCTAACGAGGTGAATAGAGTGATGCCTATAGAGGTTAATAGAGTGATGGCTAACGAGGAGAATAGAGTGACGGCTAAATAGGTGAAAAGAGTGACAGCTAACAAGGTTAATAGAGTGATGGCTAAAGAGGAGAATAGAGTAGAGGTAAATAGCATCACGGCTAAAGAGGTGAATACAGTGATGGCTAACAAGGAAAATACAGGGAGTGCAGAATTATTAGGCAAATGAGTATTTTGACCACATCATCCTCTTTATGCATGTTGTCTTACTCCAAGCTGTATAGGCTCGAAAGCCTACTACCAATTAAGCATATTAGGTGATGTGCATCTCTGTAATGAGAAGGGGTGTGGTCTAATGACATCAACACCCTATATCAGGTGTGCATAATTATTAGGCAACTTCCTTTCCTTTGGCAAAATGGGTCAAAAGAAGGACTTGACAGGCTCAGAAAAGTCAAAAATAGTGAGATATCTTGCAGAGGGATGCAGAACACTTAAAATTGCAAAGCTTCTGAAGCGTGATCATCGAACAATCAAGCGTTTCATTAAAAATAGTCAACAGGGTCGCAAGAAGCGTGTGGAAAAACCAAGGCGCAAAATAACTGCCCATGAACTGAGAAAAGTCAAGCGTGCAGCTGCCACGATGCCACTTGCCACCAGTTTGGCCATATTTCAGAGCTGCAACATCACTGGAGTGCCCAAAAGCACAAGGTGTGCAATACTCAGAGACATGGCCAAGGTAAGAAAGGCTGAAAGATGACCACCACTGAACAAGACACACAAGCTGAAACGTCAAGACTGGGCCAAGAAATATCTCAAGACTGATTTTTCTAAGGTTTTATGGACTGATGAAATGAGAGTGAGTCTTGATGGGCCAGATGGATGGGCCCGTGGCTGGATTGGTAAAGGGCAGAGAGCTCCAGTCCGACTCAGACGCCAGCAAGGTGGAGGTGGAGTACTGGTTTGGGCTGGTATCATCAAAGATGAGCTTGTGGGGCCTTTTCGGGTTGAGGATGGAGTCAAGCTCAACTCCCAGTCCTACTGCCAGTTCCTGGAAGACACCTTCTTCAAGCAGTGGTACAGGAAGAAGTCTGCATCCTTCAAGAAAACATGATTTTCATGCAGGACAATGCTCCATCACACGCGTCCAAGTACTCCACAGCGTGGCTGGCAAGAAAGGGTATAAAAGAAGAAAATCTAATGACATGGCCTCCTTGTTCACCTGATCTGAACCCCATTGAGAACCTGTGGTCCATCATCAAATGTGAGATTTACAAGGAGGGAAAACAGTACACCTCTCTGAACAGTGTCTGGGAGGCTGTGGTTGCTGCTGCACGCAATGTTGATGGTGAACAGATCAAAACACTGACAGAATCCATGGATGGCAGGCTTTTGAGTGTCCTTGCAAAGAAAGGTGGCTATATTGGTCACTGATTTGTTTTTGTTTTGTTTTTGAATGTCAGAAATGTATATTTGTGAATGTTGAGATGTTATATTGGTTTCACTGGTAATAATAAATAATTGAAATGGGTATATATTTGTTTTTTGTTAAGTTGCCTAATAATTATGCACAGTAATAGTCACCTGCACACACAGATATCCCCCTAACATAGCTATAACTAAAAACAAACTAAAAACTACTTCCAAAAATATTCAGCTTTGATATTAATGAGTTTTTTGGGTTCATTGAGAACATGGTTGTTGTTCAATAATAAAATTAATCCTCAAAAATACAACTTGCCTAATAATTCTGCACTCCCTGTAGAGTGACGACTTTAAAGGTTAATAGAGTGACAGCTAAAGAGGAGAATGGAGTGATGACTAAAGAGGAGAATAGAGTCAAGGCTAAAGAGGAGAATACATTGACAGCTAAAGAGGAGAATAGAGTGACGGCTAAAGAGGCTGATAGAGTGACAGCTAACAAAGAGAATAGAGTGACGGCTAAAGAGGAGAATAGAGTGATGGCTAAAGAGGTAAATAGTTTGATGGCTAACGAGGCAAATAGAGTGACAGCTGAGGAGAATAGAGTGATGGCTAAAAAGGTGATTAGAGTGGCATCTAAAGAGGAGAATAGAGTGACAGCTAAAGTGGAGAATAGAGTAACAGCTAATGAGGGTGATAGAGTGATGGCTAAAGAGGAGAATAAAGTGATGGCTAAAGAGTTGAATATTGTGATGGCTAAAGAGGTGAATAGAGTGACGGCTAAAGTGGTTAATAGAGTCACAACTAAAGAGTAGAATAGAGTGACAGCTAGAGAGGTTAATAGAGTAAAGACTAAAGAGGAAAATAGAGTGACAGCTAAAGAGGTTAATAGAGTGAAGACTAAAGAGGAAAATAGAGTGACAGCTATATAGGTTAATAGAGTGAAGGCTAAATAGGTGAATAGAGAGACGGCTAAAGAGGTTGATAGAGTGACGGCTAAAGAGGAGAATAGAGTGATGGCTAAAAAGGAGAATAGAGTGACAGCTAGCGGGGAGAATAGAGTGATGGGTAAAGAAGGAGAATAGAGTGATGGCTAACAAGGAGAATAGCGTGACAGCTAACGTGGAGAATAGAGTGACGGCTAAAGAGGAGAATAGAGTGACAGCTAAAGAGGTTAATAGAGTGATGGCTAAAAAGGTGATTAGAGTAATGGCTAAAGTGGAGAATAGAGTGACGGCTAAAGAGGAGAATAGAGTGATGGCTAAAAAGGTGATTAGAGTGACGGCTAAAGTGGAGAATAGAGTAACGGCTAAAGAGGAGAATAGAGTGACGGCTAAAGAAGAGAAGAGAGTGACAGCTAAAAAGGTGAATAGAGTGGCAGCTAACGGGGAGAATAGAGTGATGGGTAAAGAAGGAGAAAAGAGTGATTGCTAACGAGGTAAATAGAGTGACAGCTAACGAGGAGAATAGTGTGACAGCTAAAGAGGAGAATAGAGTGGCAGCTAAAGAGGTTAATAGAGTAATGGCTAAAAAGGGGATTAGAGTGACGGCTAAAGTGGAGAATAGAGTGACGGCTAAAGAGGAGAATAGAGTGACAGCTAATGAGGAGAATAGAGTGGCAGCTAAAGACGTGAATAGAGTGATGCGTAAAGAAGTAAATAGATTGATGGCTATAGAGGTTAATAAAGTGATGGCTAAAGAGGTTAATAGAGTCTCTTTTTACATTGCACTGTATTGTGTAACTAGTCTGTAATATGTATATTATATATTTAATTAAATATAATATACATTTGTGCTCAAAGGTTTGCATACCCTTGGCATGTACCATTTTAAAGAAAGCATGAGTGAGCAGGCAAAACACATTTCCTTTATTTCTTATGGGATTCATGTTCAACTGTAGGTTATAACAGAATGGCACAATCATAAAACAAAACATGGCAACAAAGAAAAAAATTAAAAGTGCAATAATCATTCTGTCTAATCAGCATCTGGATATGCCACACCTGTGCAATAATCACGCTGTCTAATCAGCATCTTGATATGCCACACCAGTGCAATAATCACGCTGTCTAATCAGCATCTTGATATGCCACACCTGTGCTATAATCACGCTGTCTAATCAACATCTTGATATGCCACACCTGTGCAATAATCATGCCGTCTTATCAGCATCTTGATATGCCACACCTGTGCAATAATCACGCTGTCTAATCAGCATCTTGATATGCCACACCAGTGCAATAATCATGCTGTCTTATCAGCATCTTGATATGCCACACCTGTGCAATAATCACGCTGTCTAATCAGCATCTTGATATGCCACACCTGTGCAATAATCACGCTGTCTAATCAGCATCTTGATATTCCAAACCTGTGGAATAATCACGCTGTCTAATCAGCATCTTGATATGCCACACATGTGGAATAATCACGCAGTCTAATCAGCATCTTGATATAGAAACATAGAAACATAGAATGTGACGGCAGATAAGAACCATTCGGTCCATCTAGTCTGCCCAATTTCTAAATACTTTCATTAGTCCCTAGTCTTATCTTATAGTTAGGATAGCCTTATGCCTATCCCATGCATGCTTAAACTCCTTTACTGTGTTAACCTCTACCACTTCAGCTGGAAGGCTATTCCATGCATTCACTACCCTCTCAGTAAAGTAATACTTCCTGATATTATTTTTAAACCTTTGTCCCTCTAATTTAAGACTATGTCCTCTTGTTGTGGTAGTTTTTCTTCTTTTAAATATAGTCTCCTCCTTTACTGTGTTGATTCCCTTATATATTTAAATGTTTCTATCATATCCCCCCTGTCTCGTCTTTCCTCCAAGCTATACATGTTAAGATCCTTTAACCTTTCCTGGTATGTTTTATCCCGCAATCCATGAACCAGTTTAGTAGCCCTTCTCTGAACCCTCTCTAAGGTATCAATATCCTTCTGAAGATACGGTCTCCAGTACTGAGTACAATACTCCAAGTGAGGTCTCATCAGTGTTCTGTACAATGGCATGAGCACTTCCCTCTTTCTACTGCTAATACCTCTCCCTATACAACCAAGCATTCTGCTAGCATTCCTGCTGCTCTATTACATTGTCTGCCTACCTTTAAGTCATCAGAAATAATCACCCCTAAATCCCTTTCCTCATATGTTGAGGTTAGGACTCTATCAAACATTCTGTACTCTGCCCTTTGGTTTTTATGTCCAAGATGCATTATCTTGCACTTATCCACATTAAATGTCAGTTGCCACAATTCTGACCATTTTTCTAGTTTACCTAAATCATTTGCCACTTGGCTTATCCCTCTTGGAACATCAACCCTGTTACATATCTTAGTATCATCAGCAAAAGACATACCTTACCATCAAGACCTTCTGCAATATCACTAATAAAAATATTAAAGAGAATGGGTCCAAGTACAGATCCCTGAGGGACCCCACTGGTGACAAGTCCAAGCTTCGAATATATTCCATTAACTACAACCCTCTGTTGCCTGTCACTCAGCCACTGCCTTACCCATTCAACAATATTGGAATCCAAACTTAAAGATTGTAGTTTATTGATAAGCCTTCTATGTGCAACAGTGTCAAAGGCCTTACTGAAATCTAGGTAAGCAATGTCTACTGCACCACCCTGATCTATAATTTTAGTTACCCAATCAAAAAATCAATAAGATTAGTTTGGCATGATCTCCCTGAAGTAAACCCATGTTGTCTCTGATCTTGAAATCCATGTGTTTTTAGATGTTCATCAATCCTATCCTTTAACATGGTTTCCATCACTTTCCCACTACTGAAGTAAGGCTTACTGGCCTATAGTTGCCCGACTCCTCCCTATTACCTTTCTTGTCAATGGGCACAACATTCGCTAACTTCAAATCTTCTGGGACTACTCCTGTTAACAATGATTGGTTAAATAAATTTGTTAATGGTTTTGCTAGTACACCACTAAGCTCTTTTAATAGCTTTGGGTGTATTCCATCAGGTTCCATTGACTTATTTGTCTTTACTTTTGACAGTTGAAATAGAACCTCTTCCTCTGTAAACTCACGTGTAATAAATGACTCATTTATCCTTTTTCTCGACTGAGGTCCCTTTCCTTCATTTTCATCTGTAAATACAGAACAAAAATATTCATTGAGGAAGTCAGCTAGACCTTTATCCTCTTCTACATACCTTCCTTCTTTTGTTTTTAATCTAACTAATCATTGTTTTACTTTTCTTTTCTCATTTATGTATCTAAAAAATGTTTTATCCCCCTTTTTTACTGACTGTGCTATTTTTTCTTCTGTGTGTGATTTGGAAGCTCTTATAACTTGCTTAGCCTCTTTCTGCCTAATCTTATAGATCATTTTGTCTTCCTCACTCTGGGTTTTTTTATAATTCCTAAATGCTAACTTTTTGTTTTAACTATTTTGGCCACATCTGCGGAGTACCACAGTGGTTTCTTGAATTTTTTGCTTTTACTGACAAGCCTAATGCAATTTTCTGTTGCCTTCAATAGTGCAACTTTTAAATAATCCCATTTCTCTTGGACTCCATTTAAATTGCTCCAGTCTGATAATGACTCCTCTACCCATATTCTAATTTTAGAAAAGTCTGCTTTTCTAAAGTCTAAAACTTTTGTTTTTGTGTGGTGTGACTCAGTCTCTGTTCTTATATTAAACCACACTGACTGATGATCACTGGATCCTAAACTTTCACCTACAGTAATATCTGATACCAAATCTACATTTGTTAACACTAAATCTAGTATCGCCTCTTTACGAGTTGGCTCCTCAATAACTTGTTTTAGAGACAATCCCAGTAGGGAGTTTAGAATATGTGTGCTCCTGGCACAAGTAGCTAATTTTGTTTTCCAATTTACATCAGGAAGATTAAAGTCACCCATGATGATAACTTCCCCCTTCATTGTCATTTTAGCTATATCCTCAACTGGTAGATTATCTAACTCTTCAATTTGTCCTGGGGGCCTATAAATCATACCTACACGAGTTACTGTGTGATTACCAAATTCTAACGTAGCCCAAACGGACTCTATGTTTGCCTCACTAAATTTTATTAGGCTAGATTTTATGCTACCCTTCACATACAAGGCCACACCTCCCCCTTTCTTGCCTTCCCTACCTTTCCTATGTAAAGAGTATCCTGGTATTGCTATATGCCAGTCATTTTTCTCATTGTACCATGTCTCAGTAGCAGTGACTAAATCTACACTATCAGTTGCCATTATTGCCACAAGTTCATGGATCTTATTCCCTAAACTGCAAGCATTTGTAGACATGACTCTAAGCTTATCATTTTTAACACACTTGCTACAGGCACCGTCTGTCCTTGTTTTGGGGGACAATTGGATTGATGTTTTATCACCCTTTTGCCCCCCCTCCTGGTTTAAATACATCCTAGCAAAACCTCTGAACTGCTCACTGAGAACATTTGTTCCCTTTTGAGAAAGATGCAAACCATCTTTTTTGTACAGCTTATCTCCATTCCAAACAGAGCTACCATGAGAGATAAAGCCAAATCCTTGCTCCCGACACCATTCACCAAGCCACAAATTAAAGTCCCTAATACGCATCCGCCTGTTGTTCTGAGTGTTATGCACAGGCAGAACTTCAGAGAATGACAGTGTGGAAGCAACCTGCCGTATATCATTGGCAAAACACTAAAAACTTCCTTAACCTCTGAAACCTCATTGCAAGCCAAGTCATTTGTCCCTAGATGGACAAGTACATCCAATTCCCCTTCCTGCTTTGCTTGCTTAACAATATTACAGATACGTCTCCTGTCTCTGTGAGCAGTAGCTCCGGGAAGACACCTCACAAGACCACCATTGTCCATCTCCACACCTCTTATAAGGGAATCCCCCAACAACAACTGCTTTCTATTAGGCCTCACCATAGTCTCCAAGCCGGTCTCCACAACACCACTAGTCTCAGTGCCTCTCTCCACAACACCACTAGCTTCAGTGCCTCTCTCCACAACACCACTAGCCTCAGTGCCTCTCTCTACAACACCACTAGTCTTAGTGCCTTTCTCCACAACACCACTAGCCTCAGTGCCTCTCTCCACAACACCACTAGCCTCAGTGCCTCTCTCCACAATACCACTAGCCTCAGTGCCTCTCTCCACAACACCATTACACTCTGAAAGTGCAGAAAATGAATAATGAAGAGCAACAGACTGTGCAATATGCCTTTTATCCACAACTCTAAGTCTACCAGATCCTACAGTAATCCATCTGCCATTCCTAGTATGTCTCTGCGGCAGTGGCTTTGCAGCAGTTCCAGTCTGAGCTTGTTCACCAGATAATTTACAAATCTCAGACTTCAAAAATACAATCTCCTGCCGCAAGATAGAGAACTGTCTACAGATTAGACAACAACCAAACCTCCAAAAAGTGGAACTTGAAACAAATGCATAGCAA